GGACTGCCAAAAGAACCAACAGATCTGTTTTGGAAGAAGTGCAGCCAGAGCGCTCCTTGGAGGCCAAGATGGCTAAACTTCGTCTCTCCTACTTTGGACATATTGTCCAGAGGGAACAGTCACTGGAGAAGGATGTCATGCTGGGTAAGGTGGAGGGTCAGAGAAAAAGAGGAAGACCCCTATCAAGATGGATCGGCCAGGTGGAATCATTGATGGACTTAAGTGTGACAGCGGTAGTGAGGTTGGCCCAAGATCGGACATTGTTTCATTCTGCTGTGCATGGCGTCACTATAAGTTGGTTCCTAGTTGATGGCACCTGACAACAACAACATTCAGAACAAACCATGCAGGCGAGAAGGCAACGGGGAGACATATACAAAGCTCTGCAAGAAAAAAAACGGTCAACCAAGAATCATCTATCCAGCAAAACTATCAATCAAATACGATGGTTCGATCAAAACATTCCAGGATAAACAGAATTTGAGAGATTTTTATCAAAACCAACCCAGCACTTCAAAACAGCCTAAAGGGAGTTTTGTGGACAGAGAACCAACAAGAACAGACAACAAACAGAGATTGGCAAGTATGGCAACACCATCTGGATCACAGCCAACAGATAGCGGAGTCCAGAATAGAATGAGACTATAATGACAAAATCAAAAGAATGGAGAGATCAATGGAAGGCCAAAAACACATCAGTGTCAAAGAAGGGACAAATACAGCAATGGAAGCCCAGGTGGTGAGGATGGCAGGTAAATTACAGGTTACAATGGAATATCCTAAATGCAGAGAAGAGTTAGCAGACTACAAGGTAATCCCAAAGAAAGATAACACTCCACAACATATCATAAAAAAGAATTCCCAAGGAGAACAAGCGAACAGAGAAACTAGGAGGAAACCGACCAAAAACAACTCAAAAGATATAAAACCAACACAAGAAAGAAAGCAATATATGATAGAATGAATGTAAAACTAATGTTCTTCCATGTAAACTATCACATAATTCACAATAAAACATTTAAGAAAAAGAAAGAAAGCAGAACCAAAGAATGATCAGCACTGCCAAAAAAGTAACGTAATGACAGCAATCAATTCGTGCTTACATTGAATGTCAATGGACTGAATGCACCAGTGAAGAGACAAAGAGTGGCAGAATGGATAAGAAAACAAGATACATCAATATGCTGCCTGCAAGAGACACACCTTACATACAAAGACAAAAGCAGACTAAAAGTTAAAGGATGGAAGAAATTTACCAAGCCAACTGTAACACTAGACAAGCAGGAGTCACAATATTAATATCCAACAAAGTAAATTTTAATATGAGAACCAGCATAAGAGACAAAGAAGGACACTATTTCATGATCAAAGGGTCAATCGAGCAAGACGATATAACTATAATAAA